AAGTATTAAAAAGTATTTATATTTGTGTAGCCTTTGTTTGTAGGGTTATTAACAAAGTTTGTGTACTCAGACCAGTAATATTTGGGGTCACAAGTTTTTGCCATGGATATTTTGTGGGTCAGAAGATAAAATGTTTGGGAACCACTGATCTAACACACCAATTGTTGCCACTTTCTTTAGAGCTTTTATGTTAGGTGCATTATAAAATATATGAAATGAGAAAACAGGTGAGTCAAAAGTCACAGGACACCATTTTATTTCAGGAACAAAAGGGGAAAAATGTGACGTTTGACTAAATTAAATGGTAAAACTGACTGAACTTATACAGTGCAAACCTTATTGGGACCCCAAAGCACTTTTCACTACATTCACACACTGATGGTGGTAAGCTACATTGTAGCCACAGCTGCCCTGGGGCTCGCTGACAGAGGCGGGGCTGCCATGCACGGCTGCCACCGGACCCTCTGACCACCACCAGGTTTAAGATGTTGATCAACTTTAGCAGCAGGGATTWACTCTGAATGAAAAATGAAGTAAAGTTCAATGAAATATAAGAGTATAAGAGAATTACTTAAACTGAAATAAATCTTAAAATACTTGTCTACAATTAAAACAACTATATATTTATATATAGTATATATATATATAATTTCATAAAGCATAGTGAACTCATAATCATAATGACCAACTTAGTTAAATTTAAAAATGAATAAGAAAAACACATAATCACCTTTACTGTAAAATAATAATTGATTAAACAAAGATTTGTGTAAAACAAACACTGGAACAATATTCTTTTGTGTGTTTTTTCTCTTTTTCAAGGAAGAAGATGGATTGTCATTCTTTTCATTGTGTAACTTTGATTAATAAAATGACTTGAAGTCAAAAGGAAGTATAAATCAAAAATATAAAGAACATTATTCTTTTGTTTATTAAAGAAAATAAAATGTCTCTTTTGAGGAAGGTCTTTTTAAACCAGGGTCAAAGACAAGTGGAAACGTTTATTCTCCCTCAGGGTGACCCTTACACTGATCAACAGTGTATTTTCCAGACTTCGAGTTGCATTTGTCAAAAGTGCATCAAGAGGTAAAAACACAAGTCGCATCTGATTAGAAGTTGCAGTTATTTGGAAATTTATTTCACAAAATCTAAAAAACATCTACTCTGGAAAAACAACAAACCTGGGGTGTCAAATAGTTTTATTAAGCACAACAAGCCAGTTTATTGTCATATACACAAATGAAACATGTTTCCCTGAGCAAAGGATTTCTAACTTTGCCGTCCACAGTGAATACCAAGAGACAACCAGACGAGAGAAAAAAAAAGCACTTAAAGGATACTACAGAAAGTAATAAAGGGGTAAAGTATAAAAAGACCACACTTGAAGCAAAAAAAGACCAAACTTGAGATCCCATCAAAAAAGGGAACAACATCAGTTTGTGTGCAGATGTGCAACAGGTAACAGTGTGAAATGTGCTGTATTCATAGTCAGAAAATTGTCACATACAGCTGTTGCTAAAAGGGCCCAGAGGCTTTATATTGCATTAAATTATCATTATTATTATTATTATTATTATTATATAGTATTGTATATTTCTGTCACAACAAGCCAGCGAGTTCAGCACCGGTAAGTTCACCAAACTTGTTCCACATCACGAGATCATCTTTCTTCATTTTATTCATCACAGTCAGACAACCCTCTGCTTCTCACCGGCCCCTCAGTYGCTCCAAACTGTCTTTCTGCAGCTCGATCACCCCAGATGCTAAGCAGGGTCAGGCCTGGTTAGTACTCAAATGGGAGACTGTCTGGGAGTACTAGGTGCTGTAAAACCAACGGAGATGTGCCCACATTGGAACACTAGCAAGAGAAAAGCTTCGACCATAATAGGTCCACACAGCTGCAGTAACGCTTACTCCTCGGTTCATGTCAGTCMGGATGAATTAAACAGTCAAAATGTTTCATGAGGAAGAAAAAAAAAACACAAATTTAGAAGTTACAAGTCACAGGACCAGCCTAACTACAAATAAAAAACTGACTTATAGTCCAGAAAATACAGTAAATATAGTTCAATATTTCAAAAACACTGAACATTTTAATAAATGACAGCTGATAAAACTACGAAGAGGAAAACAATGCTGAGTCAGCACCTTCGACCCAAACGTACAGACAGACTGTAAAGCATCACTACAGTGAGTTGGATAAAAGTGTCGCATGCCGACTTCACGCCAAAATGTTTTTATTTTATATATATATATATATATATATATATATTTATCATCGTTTTCTGTCTCTTGCCCTTGAGGGCACAGCTGGCCTCCCTTCAAAGAATCGGGCTTGAAAAYAATCTCCAAAAAGAGTCAAACTGGCTGCAGTGGGCGTCAGTCAAGCAGTCAGTCAGGCGAAGGCCCCGCTGTCTCCCACTCCAGAGAACAGGTACCTTGAACTAGTTTCTCTAAAGCTGAGTCTGAGATTTAATGCAATATAAAGCCTCTGGGCCCTTTTAGCAATTTGGAGTCAACACACAAACACGCCTACGCTCAACTGGAAAGACTTTCCATCCCTACCCCTTCATGTGCAAATGTGCTGAACAGAGGTGTGTAAGAAAGTGTGTGTGTGCTCGCTTTCCCTACTGAATCCCCCCACCCCCCCTCCTCCTCTGATCTGAGGCGGCACATCACTGGCCAGCCTGGAAAACAAACACACACTCTCACTCGACTAGTTGTGTCCGTGAGTGTTTTTAATAACTGTCGATCTAAAACTAAAAACTTCCAAYGTGGTTTCCTGCCCACGCTGAGTCGGGGGGGTGAAGCACGCCAGTAATTTACCACATGACGATCGTTCAGTACAGCGAGGAGCTGTTAATACCCGGCAGATTGGCAAAGCTGCTTCTTTGTGAGAGCAGCAGCTTTTTTTTTTTTTTCTGCGAGTGAAACTTCAGCGGA